GTGGAACCCCCTGCCGTATGGCGGGAGCGTAGGCAGGCAAAGGGTGCCTGCCTCTGCTGAGAAACAGCTGAGCTGCCAGGGCCACGGGCCTCATGACGCCCACAGGAGACAAGGGATTTGCCGGGACGTGTTATCAATTCCCCTCCCTGTAGCCCCTCGCACAAATCAACCCCTGGGGAGTTGGGGCCTTAACTTTGCCTTTGGCATGTGGCCGTGGCTGCTCCCTGGGCAGGCTGTAGGACCACGTGCTCCCAGGCCCCAGCCCATCTGACCCACTGTGGGCAGGCAGTTTGGGCGGCGGCAGGGCCGGGGGAGGCCCGGCACCAGCCCCACGGGAAGCAGCGGAGTGAGACGCAGAACCTAGAAGGGAGACAGGCCTCAGAGGGAGAGAGGGAGGAGACGGGGTAGGTCTGCCTAGAGAACCTGGGCCCAAAAAGCAGGTGGCAAGGGGCTCCCCCCCTCGTCCGACCCACCACGCCACAGGCGTTCTTCCCCCTTCCCTTGCCGCGCACCTGGACGGAGCAGCCCCCTGGGGAGAGGGCATTTCATTCTCCACAGCCTTCCCCTTTCCCGGCCGGAGCCGAGGCTGCCACAAAAGGGGCCACGTCGTGCCGCTCGTGATGGCCTTGTAGGCGCAGACCCCAGGGGCAAGGAACAGTGAGAGAGAAAGTCTGTATCCACAGGACACGGCCCACACAGCCCTCTCCCCCTCAGCCGGCGGGTCTCCCGAAGCAAAGCAAATAGGTTTGCTTGTTGCCCTCTTTCCGTTACGTTTGCGGTCGCAGGAAACATCTCCGCCACCCCTGGCGAACCGATCTATTCACCAGGGCTTTGGCTTCACTACCGTGAGAGTGAATCATGAGTCATTCACCACAGAACAAATTAAAAGACAACAAAATGGCACGTAGGGACAGCAAGCACTAAGGAATTCTGCCCTCTTCTCCCCCACCCCCAAGGTAGCTGCTGCTGGCCTCGCTCCAGTTACTTTCTTCAGGCCTAGACATCGCACATTTTAAATATGGCTTATGCAAGCAAGGGGAGCAAATGCATTACCCCCTTTTCCTTCTGTGTCGAGAGCTCTGCCTTTCAAATAGCTGAGAGTCCCTGGTTCTTCCCCGGGTGCCCTTCCGTCACTACAGCTGAGAGCCAGCAAACTGTGCACCAAGAGGCGCTGAGGAGCCGTGACACACAGACCTGTCGGGGACACCTGTATTTGAACCCCAAATGCTCAAAAATCAGGCCTACCTAAAATCACGAGATTACGCACCAATAGGAGCAGCGGGGTTTGCACCAATAGGAGTGGCAGGGTTCTCTTCACTGAGCGTGTGTGTGTGTGTGTGTGTGTGTGTGTGCGCGTGTGTGTGTGTGCGCGTGTGTGTGTGTGTGTTTTCTCCACTGCACTCATTGCACACCCCACTTCACTGCCGGAGCTGGGGTTTAAGGAAACAATAGTGACCACGAGTCTCATGACAAAACTCTCCCGAGTATGTTACAGTCTCTCGGAAGATGGATTCCCGACAGCGCGTCCGTGGCAGGTGTTGGCTCCTGTCACCTTCCTGACTTTGCGGGAAGTAGCAGAACCAGATGGGTGAGCTGCCCGTGAGTAGCCATGGAAACGCCACAGGCCAAACCAGGAAGTACAAGTCATTAAGCTGAATGACCTGGGCGGGGGGCGGGAGGGGGTGCACAGGCTCCTAGACATGCCGGAAATGGAGGCTTCCCTGTGTGGGCCCAGGCACTTTTCAGTTCCGTTTTCACTCGTTTCCTCCCCATCTCCTAGCGGTGGCTTTGGGTGGCTCCCCGTGAGGGAGGGGCAAGCAGGGCCGTCCCTACCAATATGCAAAGCACGCAGCCGTGTAGGGCACCGCAACATTTGGGGCACCAATTTCCCCCAAATTCTGTGGTGCCCGAGGCAGTTTCATGCTACACATGGGGCGGCAGAGGCTCCGGTGGCCAGCCCTGTGCCTTGGCTGCCCCCCACGAGCAAGGCTATGTCTAGGGGGGCGCAGGGTTCAGGACACCCTCCCACTCCCCCCCAGGCCCTCCCACACTACACCCCTTCCCTGAGCAACGTGGCCCAGGGGACTCAGCGTCACTCCGCTTCCTGCCTTCGGCGAGGGGGACCCGGTTCCACCCCTTCCCCGGGTCTCCTCCCCTGAGCAACACAGCTGGGGTAGTGGAGTGTGCTGGAGCCGGGTCACCCCACTTCCTGCTGCCCGTGAATGTGGAGTGGGCCTGAACCCTGCTGCCTCCCTGCCCTGCTCCTGTCCCCCACGGCCCTGAGCACAGCCCCCCTTCTGCAGAAGGGTTGCTTCCCCCCCAGGACTAGCTCCGCCCACAGAGAGGCTGCGCAGGGCACAAAAACTCCTACAGCACGGAGACCAAGCTGGGGGAGACTTGATCTGCAAGGGTACAAAGCCCCACATGGGGTCTGCCATGATGAGGCTGCCCGTCGGCACTACCGTAATAACCACGAGTGACAATAATTCCCCTAATGATTCTAGAACCGACAGCTCTAAACAAATGAATGAGTAAAACTAACACAGAATGATTCAGGTACCCCGTATGACTCACCCAGCATTGCTGCAGCGAGTTAAACTCGGCACAAATTCCGTTCTTATGCTTCACAACTTAATTGGTTTTCATGTCAAATTCAACATTTCAATCAAATTGTACCCCGCGTTACAACGAGCTCACTGACAGGTAATGAGCCTAGCAAGCAAACCCAGCTACCGCACCATCAGTGTCCGCTTTCACGCATGCTCTGCAAAGAAATCGGCACCCACAAGAATGCAAAGACTAGCTCTGAGCTTAAACAGGAATCTCCTAGCAGAGCAACTCTGGGCTAAAAGTGACATTAGACCGTCTGTCACTGAGAGGTTTGAATAACAACATTTAGTCCTACTCTGGGCCAAACTCGGGCAAAACTGCAGCGTCTGTCGTTGGCATCCCTAGTGAACTGCTCTGACAATGCATTCCGGAGATTTGCTATGAATAAACTTGCCATTATTAATATTGGGGTAGAGCCCTAGAGCCTCAGCCGGCTCACCAAACAAGACACTATACAAATAGATAGCAACCATCTGTCCCTGCCTCCCAGTGGCTACAATTTCACAACAAGGCATAACAGATGACTGACTAGGCAAACCAACAGGCCAGGGAAAGTCAATGGCAGTTAGGGTTGCTTTAGAAAATCCCCTAAGCAGCTACCTGGCTCTTTAGGTATCTAAACACTTTTGTAAATCTGGCTTTAGACTCTGGCAAATTTGACCTTAAAACCGATCCTTGGAAATATTCTTACTCCTTTGCATTTTTGTATTACCCTCTAGCTGTCCAACAAAGCCACCTAGCAAATGAACTATGGTCCAAAAATCTTCAAAAGCAGACTCCATACAGCGTGAATCTGATGAGCTGAAATTCCTATGCCACCTTGACACCATCAGAATGGGTCTGAACAGGGACTGGGAATGGCCCGCTCACTTCCCCCTGGAGGAATTCTCACCCTCTTCTCAGCTGCTGAAAATGGCCTCATTTAAACTGATGTTCCATAGAGTAATGTGACACTCCCATCCTGGTTGCTATGTGTAAATCGCTGACACCATGAGGCTTCCGCCTGACCAGGTGAGCTGCAGCCCAGGAAAGCTGATGCCCGAATCAATGTGTTAGTTTTTAAGGTGGCACACGACTCCTTATTGTTTTTGCTGAAACAGACGAACACCCCCCTCCCCCCCCGATATTCGCATGTCAGTAAATTTGGAAACAAACACCCCCCCCCCCCCCCCGATATTCGCATGTAAGTAAATTTGGACATTGGCTCCTTCAACAGGCAGGGTGGTCAGGTGGACCGGAAAGTCTAGTATAAAAAGGGAACTGACACTGTCCTGACAAACACCCAAAGTTTGGTTACTGTGGGTGGAGGAGGGGCCGGATCATCACTGCTGCTCAGCCAAGGTTGTCTCCTACCTCATCAGGCGGCTGGAGCTCCTAGCCCTGACTCGGCAGAAGTCCTTCCTGATCCGGGTGGGGAGAGGGGAAAAGAGGAGGGAACCGGATCAGGGCCTTGGAGGAAGAGGGGGGACAGAGGCAGATCTTCAGGGGGAAGAGATGGGGCAGGAGGAAGAGGCAGGGTGGGGGAGGTTCTGGCACTCCTGCGGGCTTGTCCGGTTTTTAAATATTACAGAGTTGGCAACCCTAGCCACACGCAGGATAGTGAAATGTTTCTGAAATTAACATACGTGGAACATTGCCAGCCAGCCAGTGAAGAGAATGAAATTTCTCTCTCCAAACTAGAACAGGAGCTACTCCGTGACCAAGTCTACCCTAGGGAACTGTAGGAAAGTACTCACAGCTCCGCCTCTGCTGCTTGCGCTTTTATCACGTGGTTAACTACTGCGGGAACTGAAATTAACAGGTGCCAAGGATGTCCTCAAGAAAGGGCAGAATCAGCTCCCAAAATGATACTTTACTGGCCATACCAGGACACACACCAGGGACCAGTACAGCTCGTTGGTACATGGAGCTTGTTGAAAACTCAAGATCCTTTGGCGGAAAACCAAAAGCCATGGAAAATCTCAACAAAACGTTACGTTTCACAGCAGGATGACTCGGACCAAAATTTTGACGTTTGCTGAGCTGAACGGAACCGTTTTATTTCCAGGCAACATCACGAAGAAGTGTGTCCACCTGCATCGCCATGGTGACACATGGGAATTGGAGTTTGGCTACCGCCTTTTCCCATCTGGGCTGGGCTCCTGGACTGGACTACATTTCCCTTGACATTTCTGCTGCCCTGTTGCAGTGCAACACATGTTTGCGGGGCCTCAATCTCCTCCTGAAAGGCCACAGAGCCTCATGGGAGTTGTAGTCAGACCAGAAAGCCTGGCCCAGAGCGGACAAAGGGCATGAGATTCTCAAGTACCGCTCCCTGGGGCTCTGCCACCCAACCCTCCAACCCATCCCTGTGGGATCTCCGCACCCTGGCCCTGCCCAGCTGTGCAGAAGGGAACTGAAATGCTGCAGCGGTTTGTCTCCTCGCCCCACGGTGTCTCCTCCCTAGATTGGGGCGAGCCCGGGAGGAAATGCCAGGCCAGGCCACGACGGCGGTTCGGCCACAGAATGGGGAAAGCGCCGTGGCCCCACAGAGGGAGCGCAGCAGCCCAGAGAGAGCTAGACCCACCCCCGTCCACGGGGACGGAGCCGGCGTGATGGGGCCCTTGGCAGAGACAAAGGCAACTCAGAGAGGGAGGAGGCTGAGGAGCGTGAGAGCAAGAGCACGGTTACCAGAGAGCTTCTTCCTCTGGGGCTAACCGGGAGAGCCTCAGGCCTTGTCCCTGCCCTCAAGGCAGCGGAGCCAGAGCAGCACTCCGGCTGGGTGAGCAAGGGATCCCAGAGCCGAAGACTCGCTGGTCTGGGAGAAGAGAGGAAACGACAAGTGGAAGTGGCCCCTTTCTCCGCACTTCCTTCTCCCGGTCGCATGAAGCCATATCTGCAGCTGAGTTTGCTGCTGGCCTGCTGGGGTGCTCGGCAGGGCTCCCACACCGACGGTGGCACCGGGTTTCACTCCCGTTCTCCAGCCTGCTGGAAAGCAGGTCAGAAATGTCCTGTCATAGACAGAGCCCTCGGGGGCGCAAGGAGCGGCAGAGGGG